ACTCGCTTTCGCTCATTAATATGATACTAATGCCATTTTACAGGCATCTGGCTTTATCAACCATATCATCGCCACAGAAATGACTACTTTTTCTTATTAATTGTTTGTGATAAATGAATCTCATTTCGGAAAGTCGCTTACCCAGTCCATTGGACGCTGAGATCGACAAGTATCCCCAGAAGGGCTACCAAGAGGAGGACGTGTATTTTCATTCGTCACTGCCTGCCCAAACACCTCCGATACCCCAGACGCTAACACTGTTCTCTAACTAGGATGTTGAATACAGAACGGCTGTACACCGACTGTAGAGAGAGGCGATAGCGGGTAGTTTATACACGACAATCCAGGAGGTATATTACAGTGTGGTGTAGAAATATTAAAAGGCTCAGGACACACCTACATTGTAGAAGCGCTTATCCAATAAGAGGTCGTCATTTAATCATCTGGAATACATTTAGCTCCACATTGCGCATGGGTTGTATTGAACATGTGGTATTAGACTACAGTTAAAACGCGGCATCGATCTGTGTATCAGATGTTTACTACATCTCGTTCAATGTATTGTCTACATCACATACAGTGTATATGACTTTGTGCCATGGTATAATAGATACCATGCTATAACAGGGCTCTCCGTATTGTTACATGCAGCGAAGGTGATGATAGCAATAAGGAAAGTTTGACATGATCTATAGGGTGAGCTATTCAGGCTAGTACAGTCTAGGTTTTGCATGTATCTTTTACAAATACGTTCAAAGCATAAACATATGTATAAATATAAATATATATGACATTTACATGTACGTGCACACTATTAAGTAAAGCCTGTTCACACCTATATGCCACACCTATATCATTTGAAGGCTAACCTCTGTTTTTTGGAGTCTGCAAACGATACAGTTGAACGTAAGTTGCCTTTCCTACTGCTGCATGAAGCAATGTTAATATATACGTCAAGTCTGGATATCAGGCAAGTTGAATAACGTCGCCAGGTAGCTTTGACACTTTCTCTAATGCTAATGACATGTTGCATGAACTCATTCGCTTGGATGACACATAGTTGATATTCTAAGAGATGGTGAAGATACAGTCAGAATCTTATAATGGACTCTGATTCGTATTAGAGGAAGCACGAGAACCTTATGCCTCTACTTCCGGAGTATAGCTCCGATTGATTTCTCTGACTTCAACCATGTTATGGTTGACATATGATTCTCTATAATATTGCATACCGACTAATCGTTAGTTCTCTAAATGTAAAAAGAATAGCGTGACGTAATATCATTTTGGCGTAATTGCAGATATGTCTTATGATTATTGATGCCTTTGGCCGTTAAGCGCATGTTCTAGGTTAAAGTGGTTTAAAGTGATCAAGTTGCCATCTTTTGATTTGCTAGTTTCTTGTATCCTGTGTATGAAGGGTTGCTTGTTTCTTCTATCCTGTGTTTGTATGGCTGCTTGTTTCTTCTATCCTGTTTCTGTAGGGCTGCTTGTTTCTTGTATCCTGTGTATGTAGGGCTGCTTGTTTCTTCTAACCTGTTTCTGTAGGGCTGCTAGTTTCTTGTATCCTGTGTATGTAGGGCTGCTTGTTTCTTGTATCCTGTGTATGTAGGGCTGCTTGTTTCTTCTAACCTGTTTCTGTAGGGCTGCTAGTTTCTTGTATCCTGTGTATGTAGGGCTGCTAGTTTCTTCTATCCTGTGTATGTAGGGCTGCTTGTTTCTTCTATCCTGTGTTTGTAGGGTTGATAGTTTATTGTATCCTGTGTATGTAGGGATACTTGTTTCTTCTATCCTGTGTATGTAGGGCTGCTAGTTTATTGTATCCTGTGTATGTAGGGCTGCTTGTTTATTGTATCCTGTGTATGTAGGGCTGCTAGTTTCTTCTATCCTGTGTATGTAGGGTTGCTAGTTTATTGTATCCTGTGTATGTAGGGATACTTGTTTCTTCTATCCTGTGTATGTAGGGTTGCTAGTTTATTGTATCCTCTGTATGTAAGGCTGCTTGTTTATTGTATCCTGTGTATGTAGGGTTGCTTGTTTCTTGTATCCTGTGTATGTAGGGTTGCTTGTTTCTTCTATCCTGTGTATGTAGGGCTGCTTGTTTCTTGTATCCTGTGAATGTAGGGCTGCCAGTTTCTTCTATCCTGTGTATGTAGGGCTGTTAGTTTCTTGTATCCTGTGTATGTAGGGCTGCTTGTTTATTGTATCCTGTGTATGTAGGGCTGCTTGTTTATTGTATCCTGTGTATGTAGGGCTGTTAGTTTCTTGTATCCTGTGTATGTAGGGCTGCTTGTTTATTGTATCCTGTGTATGTAGGGCTGCTAGTTTCTTCTATCCTGTGTATGTAGGGCTGTTAGTTTCTTCTATCCTGTGTATGTAGGGCTGTTAGTTTCTTGTATCCTGTGTATGTAGGGCTGCTTGTTTATTGTATCCTGTGTATGTAGGGTTGCTTGTTTCTTGTATCCTGTGTATGTAGGGTTGCTTGTTTCTTCTATCCTGTGTATGTAGGGCTGCTTGTTTCTTGTATCCTGTGTATGTAGGGCTGTTAGTTTCTTCTATCCTGTGTATGTAGGGCTGTTAGTTTCTTGTATCCTGTGTATGTAGGGCTGCTTGTTTATTGTATCCTGTGTATGTAGGGCTGCTAGTTTCTTCTATCCTGTGTATGTAGGGTTGCTAGTTTATTGTATCCTGTGTATGTAGGGATACTTGTTTCTTCTATCCTGTGTATGTAGGGTTGCTAGTTTATTGTATCCTGTGTATGTAGGGCTGCTTGTTTATTGTATCCTGTGTATGTAGGGTTGCTTGTTTCTTGTATCCTGTGTATGTAGGGTTGCTTGTTTCTTCTATCCTGTGTATGTAGGGCTGCTAGTTTCTTGTATCCTGTGTATGTAGGGTTGCTTGTTTCTTCTATCCTGTGTATGTAGGGTTGCTACTTTCTTGTATCCTGTGTATGTAGGGCTGCTTGTTTATTGTATCCTGTGTATGTAGGGTTGCTTGTTTCTTGTATCCTGTGTATGTAGGGCTGCTTGTTTCTTGTATCCTGTGTATGTAGGGTTGCTTGTTTCTTCTATCCTGTGTATGTAGGGCTGCTAGTTTCTTGTATCCTGTGTATGTAGGGCTGCTAGTTTCTTCTATCCTGTGTATGTAGGGCTGCTTGATCCTTCTATCCTGTGTATTAGGGCTGCTTGTTTCTTCTATCCTGTGTATGTAGGGCTGCTTGTTTCTTCTATCCTGTGTATGTAGGGCTGCTTGATCCTTCTATCCTGTGTATTAGGGCTGCTTGTTTCTTCTATCCTGTGTAATTAGGGCTGCTTGATCCTTCTATCCTGTGTATGTAGGGCAGCTAGTGTCTTGTATCCTGTATATGTAGGGCTGCTGGTTTCTTCTACCCTGTGTATGTACATGTAGGGCTGCTTGTTTCTTCTATCCCGCGTATGTAGGGCTGCTAGTTTCTTCTATCCTGTGTATGTAGGGTTGCTTGTTTATTGTATCCTGTGTATGTAAGGCTGCTTGTTTCTTCTATCATGTGTATGTAGGGCCGCTTGTTTTGTCTATCCTGTGTATGTAGGGCTGCTTGTTTATTGTATCCTGTGTCTGTAGGGCTGCTTGTTTCTTCTATCCTGTACATGTAGGGTTGCTTGTTTCTTCTATCCCGCGTATGTAGGGTTGCTTGTTTCTTGTATCCTGTTTATGTAGGGCTGCTTGTTTCTTCTATCCTGTGTATGTAGGGCTGCTTGCTTCTTCTATCCTGTCTATGTTGGGCTGCTTTTTTCTTCTATCGTGTGTTTGTAGAGCTGTATGCTCTTACCCAATGCATGCTAGCATGGGCGCGTGCCAGTGTGCTTGGAGGAAAGTTAATGATAACATTCTAACAGGAAAAACTGTGACTCCTACACAATGCCGCGCTGTTATCATACAAACGTGCATGGTTACAAAATACACACGGTTCATCACAATCATAATATTTATACTGATATAATTGTATATGTGTATTGTAATATCACAACACGAGGTCATTGATACCATCGTTATTTTTTCAAACATCCGTCTGTACATTATGTTAATGTTAAATTTGTAATTTTCCTCACCCCTGGTGTACGGAAGACCGTCCTCGTTGTATTGATACAGAGGACAAGTGTAAACATGAAATTAACATTCAATAACCATGCTGTTATCTGCAGAGGTAGATAAGGTCACATTGCAAAGGTAAAACCATAAACACATTGTGAAATTGAAATACATTGTCCCCGTGGGCAGCTCATGTTGCCATTTTAGGTCATTTCTAATGCAATCTCATGTCGGTGTATAAAGTGAAAATAGTTCTTGGCAGTTTGCCAGAGACATGCAACTGTTTACCCAATATTACCCGCTAAGCGTCCAAGGTACTTCGCCGCAAGCAAGCAAGGTTTGTTTGTTTGTTGTTTAACGCCGCACTCAGCATTATTCCGGTTATATGACGGCGATCTGTATATAATCGAGTCTGGACCAGACAATCCAGTGATTAATATCACGAGCATCGATCCACGCAATTGGGATCGATGCCATGCATCAACCAAGTCAGCGAGCCTGACCACCCGATCCCGTTAGTCGCCTTTTACGACAAGCATAGTCACCTTTTACTGCAAGAATTGGTTGCTGAAGACCTATTCTACCCCGGAATTCAATATGTTTGTGTTCAATGTTACATTAATTTTCTCTCTCTCTTGCACCCGATGGGTTATTTGCTCCTATAGAATTGATAAGAATGTTGTTTGAATAATTCGATGGCACTTATTCTTTTAACTTTGAAATGTTACATAATTAATATATTACTACACTCATCCCCATTAATTAATATTGCAATTACAACTCCCTTTCACTCGTTGTAATATAAACTCGTTTGTTTGATAGAAACGAATTTAAACAAGCATTTCCCAGTATTTACAATGCCACCCAAACTATTTCTCATTGAATAAACCTTATTGTGACAGACACAAATTAACATGGCGGAAGTCACTTACCCAGACCATTGGACGCTGATGTCGACTAGCATCCCCAGAAGGACTACCAGGAGGAAGAAGTGTATCTTCATTCTACACCAGCCGACTCTAACACCTCAGATACCTCAGAAGCTAACACTGTTCTCTCACCAGGATGTTGAATACAGAACGGCTGTACACCGACTGGAGAGAGAGGCGATAGCGGGTGGTTTATACACGACAATCCAGGAGGTATATTACTGTGGGGTGTGGAAATATTTCGTGTTCACATATCTTTCAATGCTTCAAGATAAACAAACTCCGGCCACATCTACATTGTAGAAGCCCTATCCAATATTATCAGCTGGAAAACATTTAGATCTGCATTACGGTTGGTTGTATCTATGGTTTGTATTTATCACGTGGCATTTGACTGCGGTAAAAACGCGGCATCGACCTCGTTCAATGTATTGGCTATATCACATACAATGTATTTAATATGACATTTTTTAATATTGGTTAGTATTACACACAACCACCAGTAGCTAAAGTGATGACGTAAATCCTGCTGGGGTATCATGCAGGAAGCCGAGGTGCTGTGAGTCCCCATGATCCCCAGCGAGGTGGCCTAGCTTTGGTTACTGGTGGCCTATAGCCCGTGTTTTAAAATTATAGAATTATATTGTTATGCTCAAATATGTTTCATAAATTGTTTTCAAATATAGCATACAATTGATTTTAAACATTACTTTGCATAGATGACTCAATTGTTAACATATTAAACTTGGTCTCGTCGCTATATGGCTTGAATAATGCCGATGCGACGTTAAAGTTTAACTCTCACTCAGTATTGTCACATGCAGTAAAGGTGATGAAAAGTTTGACATACTCAATCAACTGAATTATTGCACATTCCGCTTTATGATCTGTAGGGTGAGCCATACAGGTAAGTACAGACTAGATGTATTGTATGGTTATGGATGACTTCTAAAAATATGTCTGATGCATATATATACATGTAAATATAAATGTCGATCTAACTATAGTACCCATGAAGATCCCGGGTTAGAATAGATCTCCAGTAACCCATGCTTGTCGTAAGAGGCGACTATGCTTGTCGTTAAAGGCAACTAACGGGATCGGGAGGTCAGGCTCGCTGACTTGGTTGATGCATGTCATAGTATCCCAATTGCGTGGACCGATGCTCATGATACCAATCACTGGATTGTCTGGTCCAGACTCGATTATTTACAGACCGTCGTCATATAGATGGAATATTGCTGAGAGCGGCGTTAAACAGCAAACAAAGAAACACAAACAATGTTTGTATGACATTGATATGTAAAGCCTGTTCACACCTATTTGCAACACCTATGATATCTGTAGGCCAAAGAGAAAGCAAACACTCTGTTTTAAAGTTTAAAAAAATACGGTTGAACGTAAAGTAGAGTGAAGCATGAAGCAGTGTCGGTATATATATTCAAGTTGGGCGATCGGTCAAGTTGAATGAAGTCGCCAAGTAGCTTTGAAACGTTCCCCTATACTAATTGCATGTTGCCATTGTGCGAGAGAATAAAACATGAACTTATCGTCACTTGGGTTCGTGACAGAGAAATCATGATACCCTGTTGCCCCTACTTCCGGAATATAGAATATCAAGTGATTTCTCTGACTTAAACCATGTTATGGTTGATATATAATTAATAATATTTATAATATGTAGGGCTGCTTGTTTCTTCTATCCTGTGTATGTAGGGCTGCTAGTTTCTTGTATCCTGTGTATGTAGGGCTGCTTGTTTATTGTATCCTCTGTATGTAGGGCAGCTAGTTTCTTCTATCATGTGTATGTAGGTCTGCTTAAGCTTGTTTCTTCTATCCTGTGTATGTAGGGCTTCTTGTTTCTTGTATCCTGTGTATGTAGGGCTGCTAGTTTCTTGTTTCCTGTATATGTAGGGCTGCTTGTTTCTTGTATCCTGTGTATGTAGTGCTGCTTGTTTCTTCTATCCTGTGTATTTAGGGCTGCTTGTTTCTTCTATCCAGTGTATGTAGGGCTGCTTGTTTCTTCTATCCTGTTGATGTAGGGCTGCTTGTTTCTTCTATCCTGTGTATGTAGGGCTGCTAGTTTCTTCTATCCCGCGTATGTAGGGCTGCTAGTTTCTTGTATCCTGTGTATGTAGGGCTGCTTGTTTCTTCTATGCTGTGTATGTAGGGCTGCTTGTTTCTTGTATCCTGCTTATGTAGGGCTGCTAGTTTCTTGTATCCTGTGTATATAGGGCTGCTTGTTTCTTCTATCCTGTGTATGTAGGGCTGCTTGTTTCTTCTATCCCGCGTATGTAGGGCTGCTTGTTTCTTCTATCGTGTCTATGTAGGGTTGCTTGTTTCTTGTATCCTGTGTATGTAGGGATACTTGCTTCTTCTATCCTGTGTATGTAGGGATACTTGCTTCTTCTATCCTGTGTATGTGGGGTGCTTGTTTCTTCTATCCTGTCTATGTTGGGCTGCTTGTTTCTTCTATCCCGCGTATGTAGGGCTGCTTGTTTCTTCTATCCTGTTTATGTAGCCCCTTTGTTTCTTCTATCCTGTGTATGTAGGGCTGCTTGTTTTTTCTATCCTGTGTATGTAGGGCTGCTTTTTTATTGTATCCTGTGTATGTAGGGCTGCTTGTTTATTGTATCCTGTGTATGTAGGGCTGTTTGTTTCTTCTATCCTGTGTATGTAGGGCTGTTAGTTTCTTGTATCCTGTGTATGTAGGGCTGCTTGTTTATTGTATCCTGTGTATGTAGGGCTGCTTGTTCCTTTTATTCTGTATATGTAGGGCTGCTTGTTTTTTCTATCCTGTGTATGTGTGGCTGCTTGTTTCTTCTATCCTGTGTATGAAGGGATGCTTGTTTCTTCTATCCTGTGTATGTAGGGCAGCTAGTTTCTTGTATCCTGTATATGTAGGGCTGCTTGTTCCTTCTATCCTGTGTATATAGGGCTGCTAGCTTATTGTATCCTGTATATGTAGGGCTGCTTGTTCCTTTTATTCTGTATATGTAGGGCTGCTTGTTTTTTCTATCCTGTGTATGTAGGGCTGCTTGTTTCTTCTCTCCTGTGTATGTAGGGTTTCTTGTATCCTGTGTATGTTAGGCTGCTAGTTTCTTCTATCCTGTGTATGTTAGGCTGCTAGTTTCTTGTATCCTGTGTATGTAGGGTTGCTTGTTTCTTCTATCCTGTGTATGTAGGGTTGCTTGTTTCTTCTATCCTGTGTATGTAGGGTTGCTTGTTTCTTCTGTCCTGTGTATGTAGGGTTCCTTGTTTCTTCTATCCTGTGTATGTTGGGCTGCTTGTTTCTTCTATCCTGTGTATGTAGGGCTGCTTGTTTCTTCTATCCTGTGTATGTAGGGCTGCTTGTTTCTTCTATCCTGTGTATGTAGGGCAGCTAGTTTCTTCAATCCTGTGTATGTAGGGTTGCTTGTTCCTTCTATCCTGTGTATGTAGGGCTGCTTGTTTCTTCTATCCTGTGTATGTAGGGTTGCTTGTTTCTTCTGTCCTGTGTATGTAGGGCTGCTTGTTTCTTCTATCCTGTGTATGTAGTGCTGCTTGTTTCTTGTATCCTGTGTATGTAGGGCTGCTTGTTTCTTCTATCCTGTGTATGTAGGGCTGCTTGTTTCTTCTGTCCTGTGTATGTAGGGCTGCTAGTTTCTTGTATCCTGTGTATGTAGGGATACCTGTTTCTTCTATCCTGTGTATGTAGGGCTGCTAGTTTCTTCTATCCTGTGTATGTAGGGCTGCTAGTTTCTTCTATGCTGTGTATGTAGGGCTGCTAGTCTCTTCTATCCTGTGTATGTAGGGCTGCTTGTTTCTTCTATCCTGTGTATGTAGGGCTACTTATTTCTTCTATCCTGTGTATGTAGGGCTGTTAGTTCCTTGTATCCTGTGTATGTAGGGCTGCTAGTTTCTTCTATCCTGTGTATGTAGGGCTGTTAGTTCCTTCTATCCTGTGTATGTAGGGCTGCTAGTTTCTTCTATCCTGTGTATGTAGGGCTGCTTGTTTCTTGTATCCTGCTTATGTAGGGCTGCTAGTTTCTTGTATCCTGTGTATATAGGGCTGCTTGTTTCTTCTATCCTGTGTATGTAGGGCTGCTTGTTTCTTCTATCCCGCGTATGTAGGGCTGCTTGTTTCTTCTATCGTGTTTATGTAGCGTTGCTTGTTTCTTGTATCCTGTGTATGTAGGGATACTTGCTTCTTCTATCCTGTGTATGTATGGATACTTGCTTCTTCTATCCTGTGTATGTGGGGTGCTTGTTTCTTCTATCCTGTCTATGTTGGGCTGCTTGTTTCTTCTATCCCGCGTATGTAGGGCTGCTTGTTTCTTCTATCGTGTTTATGTAGGGTTGCTTGTTTCTTGTATCCTGTGTATGTAGGGATACTTGCTTCTTCTATCCTGTGTATGTATGGATACTTGCTTCTTCTATCCTGTGTATGTGGGGTGCTTGTTTCTTCTATCGTGTTTATGTAGGGTTGCTTGTTTCTTCTATCCTGTGTATGTGGGGTGCTTGTTTCTTCTATCCTGTCTATGTTGGGCTGCTTGTTTCTTCTATCCCGCGTATGTAGGGCTGCTTATTTCTTCTATCCTGTTTATGTAGCCCCTGTGTTTCTTCTATCCTGTGTATGTAGGGCTGCTTGTTTTTCTATCCTGTGTATGTAGGGCTGCTTTTTTATTGTATCCTGTGTATGTAGGGCTGCTTGTTTATTGTATCCTGTGTATGTAGGGCTGTTTGTTTCTTCTATCCTGTGTATGTAGGGCTGCTAGTTTTTTGTATCCTGTGTATGTAGGGCTGCTTGTTTATTGTATCCTGTGTATGTAGGGCTGCTTGTTCCTTTTATTCTGTATATGTAGGGCTGCTTGTTTTTTCTATCCTGTGTATGTATGGCTGCTTGTTTCTTCTATCCTGTGTATGAAGGGATGCTTGTTTCTTCTATCCTGTGTATGTAGGGCAGCTAGTTTCTTGTATCCTGTATATGTAGGGCTGCTTGTTCCTTCTATCCTGTGTATATAGGGCTGCTAGCTTATTGTATCCTGTATATGTAGGGCTGCTTGTTCCTTTTATTCTGTATATGTAGGGCTGCTTGTTTTTTCTATCCTGTGTATGTAGGGCTGCTGGTTTCTTCTCTCCTGTGTATGTAGGGTTTCTTGTATCCTGTGTATGTTAGGCTGCTA